TTGAGAGGGGTCGGCATACTCACGAACAGAACGGTTCTTTTGAGATTTGCAAGATGAAGTGTACGACTTGAATTTGGGGTCAGCGTACTTTTGTAGTGAAATGCTTCCTTTGTGACCATCGAGATGAAGTCCGCAACTGGAAGGATCCAGGCCCTAATAGAATGCTTTCTTTTACTTTTTTATGATAAATTGTCAGCGGCCACATAAAATTATTGTGCCTTTTGGCTGTAATAATTATAAACATGCTTGTGTTGACGTAAACTGTTTTAGTAGCATTTGATGCCAATTTCTGTACATTCAGAGAATTAAAAAAAAGTGTTTTGGGCTTCAGGATGACGCTCGTCGGTAATCGTCGCAGTTCCCCGTGAAGTTCATAACAATTTGCGAATTTCTTTACGATACTGCTGTTAACAATGACTACCTGATATTTATTAACTTTTACACGCCGAAAACTGGTTCGATATACCATATATCGGCGGTGTAATTCTTTTGTCAAAATTATTTTGTGTGGGATTTGGTGACCGTTAATTAATGATTATTTAGAGATCGTGAGATGCGGTCTGGTGTGACGTTTAGAAAAACATTTTCTTTATCGTCCCAACGTTTCGATCTTTATTGAGATCATCTTCAGGGCCTGGGATTTATAAAACTGTGTTTGAGAAAGTACAAATACTTTGATTAAACCTAAAATTTCCATACATCATTGTATAAATTCATGTTTATATCTTATTGTATTTTGTATAATTTAAACAACATGGCAATCCCATGCCCTGAAGATGATCTCAATAAAGATCGAAACATTGGCACGATAAAGAAAATGTTTTTCTAAACTTACATCGGGGCGTCTGTGGCCGCAAGGTTTATTCTTTGACACGGCGCTCATCACTGTAAGGTAAAGATCCCGGGTTCGAATCCAGCGGTCCTATGGCCTCTGGACCTGGGTTTATACGACCTCTGCTGTTGCGAAACCTCGTAAAAAAAAAAAAAAAAAAAAAAAAATATTCCTACAGACGACTAAGGACTTAAAAGCCATTATTTTTACCATAAAAATATGTAGATGTTGGTAAGGTTAATTAATGTTAGTTTAGGTAAAAAATAATTAATAACAAATGAGACAAAGATATTAAAATATGCTTGATCTTTTACCCAATATTTTAACTCGTGTTCATAAAAAATGAAAAACATCGTTAAACTACCATCGATAAATTAAAATTCAGACACATTGTTAAATTCCTACTTATAGAAATACTAATTGGAGAAAGGATTTATCAAATGCTGCTCAAAATTAATGGTATATTATTAGGCAAAACTTGTATAATAATATTCGCAATTTCCTCTAAACGTAAAAAGGTTGTATTGCTGTGGTTTGGGTGATTTTGCTATTAAGCTTTTCAACCTTTTTTTTAATATACACTTTTTAATTATATGCGTTTTTATCTTCCTCCTCAGTACAAGCTGCCTGGGGACATTTAACAAAACCGAAAATGCAGACAATTATTAAGTTATATTCTTATATTTCAAGATATTTTCTCATTTATCCTTAATTTCGGCACGCATTTTGTCAGTACAAATTTCTGCGATGAATAGTTACATACTGCTTTAGATCCTTCGGTGCTTTGAAATGAGATGTAATTCACTGACGAAATTCTAAACAAATCTACTTAAAATATAACTCTAATATAAACAAAACTAAATAAAACGTATCAGACCATTTCAATAGATTAAAACAAACAGAAAATTGATTTGATTAAAAAGAAAGCTTGATTGCCTCTGATCATTCTGGTTTCTCTGGTTCTCTATTCTTCTTCCATCTGTCAGTAATGTTTAATAGATATAATGAATTATATTTACATGAAAAGACTTTCACATAAGATGGATAAAAATTTAGAAAGAATGTAGACCAACTAAGAATTGTTTACTTGCATTCTGGTTTAAAGTGTATGGTACACTATAACAAAAATAATACATAGAAAAACAAATGAAATCCCTGTTTCCAATTGTATTTTGAATTATATGACATTCTCTTGTAAACTTCAAACTTTATACAATTAACGTAAGTTTTCCAGGAAACAATTTGTAAAATATTAATTTGTGAAATATTGTGTTAAGTTCTGTAAATAATGAACATGATGCTAGATTATCTTTTGTACCATCTATATCTATTATCTAGCATAATATTAGATGCATTTCAGTATTTTTAATATCTTAATAGTAAAAGATGTTAGTGGCCCAATGCCAATAAAACTAACAAAAAAACTATGTAGCCTGGGATGATCAGCGACAATCAAGCAATCAAGTAGTGTGACTTTCAAATTTTTGAATATGGGCTGATTTTTTAAAAATTAATTTGTAAACATTTTTATTTATGTGTAGAGATTAGTGACCGTTAATCGATAGTTATTCAGATATCGTGAGATGCGGTCGGGTGTGATGTAGGTTTCAGAAAAACATTTTCTTTATCGTGCCAACGTTTCGATCTTTATTGAGCTCATCTTCAGGGCCTGGGATTTACAAACAATGTTTACATTTAACAATTAGAAAGTGAATTTATACAATGCAAAATATATTTTCTATTTAAACAAAGTATTTCTACTCACTCAAAGTGTTTGTCTTCTGTGTATTTGTGCCATCCTTGCGTGTCGTGTTGAGAGTGCAAGTGAGATTTTGCTGTTTTATGTTTATATATGTTTGGTGTTTTTTATATACCGACTTCCTTCCCCACCCCTTCAACACCATACATATATAAACATAAAACAGAAAAATCTTACTGGCACTCTCAACACGACACGCAAGGATGGCACAATTACACAGAAGACAAACACTTTGAGTGAGTAGAAATACTTTGTTTAAATAGAAAATATATTTTGCATTGTATAAATTCACTTTTCCACATCCTAAATGTAATTGTTAAATGTAAACATTGTTTGTAAATCCCAGGCCCTGAAGATGATCTCAATAAAAGATCGAAACGTTGGCATGATAAAGAAAATGTTTTTCTGAAACCTACATCACACCCGACCGCATCTCACGATATCTGAATAACTATTTTTATTTATTATCAATCCATTTTTCCATTTTAGCTTAAATGATGTTCAAAGAGACCTTAACATTCCATATTTGGTGTAAACTTTTTGTCCATTGATGTGACCATTTCAAGTACTTATAGTGGTCTATTATTTTACAAAATTTAAAAAAAAATTCTATAATTATATTATTTGCTGTAGAATTTTTTAAAATCTGGTAGTATGTGCAGTTTTAATGGCGTTTTAAATAACTGTAATTCCAACTCTGCCTAGGGAAAATTAACAAAAGTTGAGAGTTGTTACATGTTAAAATTTTGAAAGAAAGACTTGATGTACGAGTCTGTCTAGTTAGCTACTAATGGAAAGTAATGGCGAAAGTGATATTTTTGTGCATATCGGATGTCTGGTGGTAAAGCTACCTTTACCTAAGATATTTTATTAACAACTGGACTACAGCTAGGGTGCATTTCACCCTAAATTAAACCTGCATGAATTCTGAATAAGTATGTAAATAGGATTTAGTGTGTGAATTTTGGATAGCAATAGACATATTCAGTTTTACCCTACCTTTTTTGAAGATGTGAATTAACCACATCCTTGACTCTCTTGCTAACACTTGTCCTTCCAGTTGATCTTATGAGTTAGACACTTATGGACCAAACTTCTGCTCATACCAAGGGTACTGATTTCAACATACTAATTCAATTTAAGCGAAATTCAACTTATGCACTTATTCAAAATTCATTCAGAAATACTGAGCATGTTAAATTTAGGGTTTGCCCAAAAATTTAATGTTATTACATTTAATTCAGATGGAGAAACTAATTTAGCTTGTTGAATTCAAAGAGCATTTAGAAAGTCAGCACAGTTTAAATCTTTAGATTATTCCGGCCTTTCCGATAGTTCCTAGTTTCATTCCAAAATTCCATACTATCTCCTGGTACTGTATACATTTCTCATTTATTTAAAATAAAAGTTTACTACATCCTTTCATAGTCTAACGAAATCTCCAAGAAAGACGTGAAAAGTCTTTTATGATAGTTGGCATAGCCTCCATGTCAGATTAATAAATCACAATTTTATGCTGTTGTTCATTGGAATTTGAGTCTTTTGAGTCACAACAGTTGTGGAATATTATAAACATGTATCTTTGTAGACTAGTTGTGGTCGTTGGCTGCTACATTAATTATTATGTGAAGTTCTATTGAAGTAATCAGCATCTCAACTGTTTTTTAATTTTTTTTTTTAAATACTGTAAATGCATTTCATGCCACACTGTGGATATAAATAAAAGTAATATATTTTGTTGATTTTTAAAAGTGTAGTGTAATGTATGATATATTTAAATGTCTAAATGGTTAATCGTTCATAAAAATCATCAATGATAGAAATACCAGGATGATAGGTAACTATGAAACAATAGGTTTATCATCTGGAAATCTCACAATGTTAATTCGTTGTAAATTTAAGTTATAGTTGTTTAAATAAATTGAGAACTTGCTCGAAATGCGTTTGAAGAAAAGGAATAAATACAAATTAGGCTGATTATTTAAATAAAACCCCAAACAATTGTAAATATGTTTTAGAACAGCAGCAGGCTGTCCTGAAGCGATTGTTCTGCAAGTTTTTTCCCAGGCTTGTATGAGGATTTAAATTATCTGGCCTTGAAAAAAATGTCACAATTTTGAACGAAATCGTCTGAAATTAAGTGTATTGATACAAACAACATAAATATATAAATAAGTGTAAATTTTAAATTTGGGATGTTAGGAATGTCATTAATATTTTTCAACATTACCACTATAAAATCAAATCTATTAAATTTGTATATATGTACAAGAAAATAACTTACAGTATTTATATTATTTACAGTGTTTATTAGGGTTCCAATGAACACGTCAAGATTCTCTACATTTGTACTTAAAATCTATAAATAGTATTAATCTATATTTTTCACAAGTAGTAAGAAACTTGATGAACGGATGTAAATTATTTTATTAACAGAGATAAAAAGAAAGGAAAGAAAAATCCAGAAAATCACAACTTGTATTACATTATCTGATTGTCCAAAATTAATCTTAAACTTGTTAAAACTTATGTCTTTCATGTTATTCTTCTAAAAAAAAGCAAAAAAAGAAAAGAGTATAAAATAATGAGATCCTGTTTTTCCGTACAATAATTCTTAATCTTAATAACTACTGAAAGGTGTCGAAGGGGTTGGTCAATTGTAAATTTGCAGCATCACTGAAGGCACTTTTTCCCAAAGGTAGATTGTAAGACTTCTTATTAAAATAATTTCTAGCTTTATCTAAAATGTTTAGTCCTGAAGAATATTCTTATAAAAAATATCACAGTCTGCAACTGTAAAAATATTTAATTTTCTTTTTACAAACAGATTTTGGCCGGAGTTTAGATAAAAATTGTCACTGTTGTCTTTGCACAATGTAAAAACAAGAGGTTTGGTGCTTTTTAAAAAAAATTAATTGTGCGAAACCTACATGATTAAATTAATCTAATGAAAAAAAATATAAGGGAGTTATGTACAAATCCATTAAGGGATGACTTAATTCCTGTCTGTTTTATGAAATGAAGCACTGCACCAATATGATGGACATTTAGAATATCTGGCAACATTTCACTGAAATGATTTACTCAAAGTAAACACGTTAATAAATTTAAATAGAAATATCACATCTTGCCTTCTCCATTGGCAAAATTATTCTATTAGAACACATCTTATCCTAGATTCAACGCTAACTTCTATGAAGTAGAAAAATGTTTTCTGATTAACTAAAGAACCATTTTTTTCTAAAATTATCACTTAAATACTGAAAACAATTCTCTGTCAACTTAAAAAACAAAACACATTTTATCATATTACCTGTTATTGGTAATGCATTATTTAAAACAAACTGTTTTAGCATTGGTTGATTTTTTTTTCTTAAATGCTACAGTTGCTTATAGAAAATTTACTATTCAAAGAGAGGTAGTTTGAACACACATCTCCATCCTATAAAACAATGAGGTTTTACATTTTTAACATAAATAGGCTTCAAATGAGGAACCGTTGGAAATTAAAAGAACAATGGCTATTAATTGGTCCAAATAATACTTGAATTCCGAGGTATAAATTTTGTATTACAAAAAATACTGAGCCCATAAAGTAATTGCACTAAAGCACATGGTAACTTACATCACATTTAAAGAGAAAGTTAGGCACTTCAATTTTGTCATTGGAAAAAGAGGAAAACAATACTTGCAAGGTCCGGTTCTAATGATTAAAATAATATTACCAAAAGGTTAATAAAATTATATTTGGAATCAGATTTAAGATCTCATAAAAGTTTTAAGTATAGTATTTCTTTGACAATGTTTCAAATATAATAATTGGCATAAGATGTGAAGTGTTGCGTTTAATTTGTGCGAATGAGATCTAATATAAAATAGTTCAAGAGATCAGTAAGAAATAATTTTGTAAATTTAATATTTTTAACCCATTGTGAATATATTTTTGAACAGTTTGACTAGCTTGACTAGAGTTGCAAATTAGTATTTGCAGCTTGTGTTTAATAGGAGTTTAAAATGTCTGAAATTATTATAACGAGGATTTTTTTTATTATTACTAATACAAGTATTGTTCTTTTCTTTTCCTTTAAAATTCCAAACGTACAATATACAAACACAAAAGATAACAGCCATAATTCTAGCCACACTCGAAATATTTCACTGGGATGTGGAAATCATTTTTAGCCTACCCATTATTCAGGGAGGTTTTTACTTAGCAACAAGTTATTGTGAGGTCCCGACAAATGTCTTATCAATTCTTGTAACGATTCAAAAGTCAGATGGCAGAAGCAACAGTTAAAATGTCCTGTATCACCGTCACCACCGCTAGCGCATATAACGTTCCTGTGCACTGAACAGAGATGTTTCAAAAGATGTGCCTTCTGCTTGAACATTGCCACACACAACCGGCAGGCAAACGGTTTCTCCCCTGTGTGTACCCTGAGGTGCGTCTTCAAATTCCATGACATTCCGAACTGTTTACCACAGTATTCACAACGGTACTCTCTGACGGGTGCTTTTGTGCTTTCTTCATTTTCACCTACAAATAAATAAAAATGAGAAATAATTCTGCATTTAATTCGATTTTCTAAATTGAATAAAAACGCTGAAAATGTAAAATTTTCACATATAATGGAATTCCATAGAATATTACAGCGATAATTACTGGAACATTACCATGAGATATGGATGGGGGTTCTTCTTTCTTTGAAGGTGGTGGTGGTGGTAGCGTCCAAGAGCTCCAGGGAGTTTCTCCGTAATGTAGCCTAGGTGGGGATAACGGAGGAGGTGGTGCCGAGTGGCTTTCGCCAGCGCCATGGCGGAAGACTTCTGGTTTCATGGCATCAATGAAGTATGGAGGGTGTCTCTGTCTTATTGAAATCTCGTCAATGTAAGATGGGGTGAATGGTACAAAAGGTGGGTTCTGGGCTGGAGCGTTGTGAAATCCGGGCCTCCTCTTTCTATGAGGTGTTACGACATAATTTTCAGGTGTGGCTTGGCCGAGTGCTTCTTCTGGAAGTTTATGGGGATCGTCATCTTCCAGATTAGACCTACAACAAATAAAATATAACAATATTCCTTTGCAAAATTTATTCAGTTTAATAAAATTATACTTACCTATAATCTTCCATATATTTCGATTTTCTTTTGTGATGGACGTAAGGTTGATAACTGAGAATCCTTTGTCCTAATTTATCAGGTGGATTTTTTTGACTGTCCTCTTCATAAGAATCAAGTCCTGGCGATGAACTTTTTTCTTCTAATTTAGTTGGGTGTTCTGCACCCTGTAGTGCAAAAAAAATTAAATGATTATTTTAAATTTGTATAATTACAGAATTACCTATTTCAGTAAGAAATAAAATCAAAGGTCTCTACAAATTAATGAAAAAGGATATTTTTTCACTTAACTTGTATTTTTAAGCATAGTTCAGAAATATGACAGAAGATTTACTATTTTTACAATACTGAAAATCTTCATCTTTATATCATCTTTCAGGGCCTGGGATTTACAAACACTGTTTAAATTTAACAGATACATGTAGGATGTGGAAAAAATTGAATTTATACTATGCAACAAAAGAAAAAAAAAATTTAAAATAATTATTCAGACATCGTGAGATGCGGTGCGGTCTGGTGTGATGTAGGTTTCAGTAAAAACATTTTCTTTATCGTGCCACATTTCAATCTTTATTGAGATCATCTTCAGGATGATGATGATCTCAATAAAGATCGAAACGTTGGCACGATAAAGAAAATGGTTTTCTGAAACCTACATCACACCAGAACGCATCTCACGATTTCTGAATAATTATCGATTAACGGTCACTCAATCACCACATATATTTTTTATATTCAAAGTATTTCTACGTTGTTATTAATCATACGCAAGTCTTAGGATGTTTATGGCATGAAATGAATATTTTGAAAGAGAAATAGTGAAAAAGAAATCGGACCTGTGAGTCATTGTCAATTGGAGGCTCATCCTTGACTTGAGTGTTGGCTGAATTGAGTGAAAGGTTGACAGGAGTCGAGGAACTTCTTCTCCTTCTTTGTGGGGTCCTCGCCCTTTCATCAATATCTCTTTCCTTTTCACCTCCACAATCACTCTCGCCACCGCTTACACTGCTGCTCTGACTACTCTGTTTTTTCCACCTGTCTTCGACTTCTTTCGCCTTGTCCTCCCACAATTCCGACTTAATCTCTAGGAGCTCAAAGAGCTCGACCATGCTGGAAATCTCAGTAGGCTGGAAAATCCAAATTCTACATTAATCTAAAACCTTGGCGGAGTGCATATTGGTTGAGCCTAAATTGAAAAAGACCTGAACACAAGTTTGGCCGGTGTACAGAAAGTCCAACATGTTTTTCATGTGTGAAGCTTTAATGTCGGGCAGCTGAATGGTGACTGTAGGCTCGATCAGTCCCTGAAGAAGTCGGCATATCAGCGGGCTTGCCGACGCCAATATAAGCCTGTGTGCCCTGAGGTTACCTCCTTGGCAAATTAGATGGACATCTGCGTGTGCCTCCACTTCGAACCATCTCCTCACTTCGTCCACGACTGATGTATGGTGCTTACCGTAGTGCAGAGTCAGGAGACCTCCGCAGTCTCCGCCAAACATTGCAGTCAATCTGTAAAAACAAACCGAACTCTAATGAGCAAGTTTTAAATATTTAACAAATATTACCAACAATATATTAAACAAATCTGGTTAAGAAAAAAGTAAAATTCAATAAAATTTCAATGAATGAGTCTTTTTATGTAAGGTCTTGGTCAAGATGAAAAAGTTAGTTCAGTTGTGGGATTCGAACCGAAAACCTCTGGCTCAATATGCCACTACTATAACCACTTGAGCTATCCTGACTTCTTTATAGCTCAAGTGGGTAGAACAGCAGCATATTGAGCCGAAGGTCGTGGGTTCGAATCCTGCTAGTGACACTAACTTTGTCATCTCAACCAAGACCTTACATAAAAATAATAATAAATTGAAATAATTAATATGGTCAATTATGACCATTAAACATAAATGAATTAATTAATAAAATATAAATTATTTATTTCATTCTAAGTCTTTTATAGTTAATAGTTTCTTCGTAAATCATCTCAATAGAAATTTTTTAAAATATAATTTGTAAAAGGCCAAACCAGGCAATTTATTAAATACTTAATCTAAACTTTTTGTACCAGAGTTAAAATGAATTAATAATTACACTTTTCATTATTATATTTGTAATAATTCATAATTAAAAATAAAAATGATCACAAAGGCAGAGTTTTATAGGTTGTTTTCAATAATACATTTTTTACAGCTCTTTTTAATATCTTTTGAAGAGTAAAGATAAAATTGGGGTGAATGGAAGTTTGTTGGAATTTTCACAGCTATTGTGCTTTGACCACATCTATTATTGTGCTTTGGAACAAAGTCTTTTTCTGCTTTGTGTTAAGTCTTAAATTTTAATGATATTGTTTAAATTTGAATTAGCAATGAAGTAAATTATGATTTTAAATTTGAGATGTTTTGTATTAAGTTTAAGTGTGAGTAGGAAATTCTCTTTATGGTTATTAGAATTTAATATTATTTTTGAAGTTAGCTTTTTTTCAGAGAATTATTTTTAAATGGCACTCAGCTGCTGATCCATAACATTCCACTGTGTTTCTAATTAAATATTCAAACAAGGCTTTATATGCAATTATGAGGGTTTCTTTAAGGAAACATTGTCTCAACATAAATAATTTGGCAGGACAATATCTTAGTTTGATCAAGAGATTCTTTATGTGTGGTTACCATGACATATTTGAGTTTAAAGTTTGTCCCAAATAAGTTATTTTGTTCACCAAATTCAGGGAGGGCAGCACATTTCAATGCTTTTGGATCTCCTGAGTTTCTGAGACAGGCACTGGGCAAGAGTGTCTGCACTAGCTTGAAAATCATGATCACTGTTTTCTCAGAATTAATTACAAATTTTTGATCCCAAGACCAAAGCAGTAATCAATGATCAAAAATGATTGAGCTTTTAAGACAGCAGATAACTGATCGCACCAACAAAAGTATCACATCATCTGCGTACAAAAACATCTCGTCCGCCCCAATTGCTTAATTTATTTTGTTCAGATAAATATTGCACAAGCGAGGCCCTAAAACCCCTGAGGACTCCAATATTAAGTTTAAAAAGATCACAATTGATTGGCAATTTTTACCATCCATTGTGTATTTGTGAAATAGCTCTGAATAATTTTTTTTCACTGAAATTAGCCTTTTTTAGCATTCAACAACTTACAATGGTCGAAAGAAAATGCCTTACTATAATCCCTATAAATTTGATGATCTTGTAAACAAAATTAAAACAAATATGACAGTAATAATATATACAAATTGATAGCAATTGGTTTTTTTTAGATGTAAGTTAATTCTTGATTAGTTTTTAAGTGTATTAACTTTAAATTAATCATGATCACTACTGCTTTATTCTTTGTTCCACTGTAATAAAAATAATGGCTTAATGAGTTTAGAAAATATATTATTCATTATCAAAATGCAGTATTGAAAAACACAACAGTAGAGAAACTAACAAAACTCAATATGTATTGAAGAAGTTATGGAGTCAGTTAAGCCCGCAAGATAGATCTTCCATGCGGGTTTAGGTTTAGGCAGCGTAGATTAGAAAGAAACGCCCTTGAATCAATTTAAACATAATTGGACGATACCCTGTTTACGTTTATCGAAATATCAAATCAGTTGTCCAGTTTTCTGATTTGATAGGGCTAGAATCTCTTTACCGCAAGAACGACAGAAATAGACAACGGATTAAAAAAAAGCTTATCCTTCCACGCGTACAGAGACCAGCGAGGGAGATCGAATCTCTTACATAATCGGACGAGTTAATGACCCATTTAATGTCGCGGCGCGGTCCACTGGTACATTACTTAACCCACTTTCTTTTCACTTTTTAAATAGATTGAATTACCCCAACCCTGAAACGGCAGATGACAAAACGGAAAAACATCGCCAGATCGTAGGTATTTTAGTCAACTCCCTACTGTTACGGGTCCGACTATTTTCGCCGTAGACTGTAGTCAGACGCGTTCGATAAAAAACGACTATTAATGATCCATACGCTTTAAATCGAGGAAGTTGACGGACCAGTCTGACTTTATTTTGCAAAAAAATCTAAATTTACTTACATCTCGGAGAATTGTTAAAAATTGTTAAAGAGCATTTTTTAATTTTAATATAGTACATATGTGTAATATTTGACAATTTTGAAATAGTCACCTATCTTGTGCGTGTGTTTAAGCATGTAACGTGCATTTTTTACTATCAAAATTCCACAATTTGCGTCATTATACAAATATTTAGTCAGGAGGTGAAAAGTAAACGTTGTGTTTAATTGACTGTACTGTCACTGAATCATTTTATAGGTCCGCCTATTCTCGCTTGATTTTGTATCATTGCGCCTCGCTTTTCGTCCCATTTATAGGTCCCACTGATAATTTTTTTTAAATGTTATACTATGTTATTAGGCTTTTAATATTTTCACGATCTCTTAGTTATTTTGTTTATTTTGTTAGGAGTGTTCTTTAAGTTGAAGTTGATCTAGTATTTATCATCCATGGTCATCGTAGCTAAATTGAGTTGAGTAGTTTAAAAATAAAGAAATATGGGGCATTTGCTATTCAGGTGGTAACGAAATCCTACAAATTTCTTCTCTTATGATTATCAAAGTATATTGAAAAATACAGGATAATCCAGTTGTTTCTCTTAAAAATGATGGTATTTTTGCAATTATCGATGTCTGTTCGTACTACCTAATGTTAATTTGTTATCGTGAGCATGGTTATATTAGAAAATCACAAAAATTCTTTTTTTTTTAGGTACGAAAATCAATATTTTTCTTTTTAAGAAAATATTTTAAACAAAATACAATTAATAAGCAATATGCACATTATGGTCATTCATTGGGTCTTTTTTTTTGTTAACATTTTATTAATCACGGATTGGGGATTGCAAATATTAATTGGAAAGGTCGACAAGGGGCAGAACAAATTGAATAATGAATTTCACGATTCTTTTCGACACGCAGACAGTCGTGTCGCGACCTTTTTCAACCATGTCCTAAAAACTACTTCAACCCAAAGATCACTTATTTACAACTGTCGACAGACACTATCAATCAATATCAATTAGTTATAAAAGCATAAAATTTTGTTTAAAATATTCTTTAAAAAATAGTCATAATAGAATGGTGTCATGTCATAATAAAACATCCTGTAATGACAATTTAAAGATAAATTTGGTCAAAAATTTTTAATATATTTAGAAAATAGTCACTTTTCATCTAAATTTTATCTGATAAAAGCATGACGTAAACTTTTATAATAAAATGCATTACTGTTTAATATTGCAACTGTCACTACGATAGTTTTTTTTTTAAAGGGGCTTCTGACAGCTGGTCATTTCACCCCCGAGCGCATGCGAAATATAATAACACACAGACAATATGCATTCACACAAATAAATACATTCACACGTTGCATTCATTCTATGTGGTAGATGGAGTACTCAATATGACCGGAATAACGAACTAATCTAATTGGGGTCGATGAGGTACTTTTATAAATATTCCGCCATCGACTCAAGTCACGTACACAGCTCGAGGGGATGGGGATCTATTCCACATTCACTCTAATAAATACACTCACTCATACAAAACACATATTTTGAAGATTGTATACAATAAAAAATTTCCAATTACCGTAAAAAGCAGAACCCTGAAACTCGCGTCTGTGTCCGAGCACCATTCTTAAATCCGGCGGCATGCCTACACGCTCTTTCTATGGAGCCAAGGCATGACACGCCTCTATTATGTGGGACACATAGAGCAACCTTTCTCTGCACAAGGGGCACCTGCGCGGGCTTTGGGGTTATTTATTATAAAATTTGATCTGATTAATGTTGTCCTACCTGGTCCTGGTTAAGACTGTTACAACGTTATCACAGATACAATTTAAATTAATATTTAAAAAAAAATATTATGATTAGAAACCACGAGTCAAGATTTTTCGCCCCCTTTGTTCCGCCTAGTCACCCTGGTTTATCGCTGTTGAGACTTTATCTTCTTGAAATTGTCACATCACTGTTGATAATTTTTTAGAAAGAGCATCTCACATCCCATGTCACAACGGATCCTAACAAGATCTAACAATAATAATAGCTATATTCACATTTTTGTTATGAAACTTGCAATTAAACTACTAGGTTTATTATTACTAAAATTTGGTGATATACATATTGCGAGTATTTCCTGTTTTTTGCCATCTTTATGTATGTCTAATGTTATGTTGATGAAATCTATCTCGATAAAAAATCTTTGAATATTAGGTACTAAGAATCGACACATACAAAGAAATTTGGCCTGTAATTTGCTTTGTGTGGGCTTTTAAACGTTAATTTGGTCGTTGCCATTATTTTGGTCTGCCTATCCTCGCTGGATTCGCCTGTGAGCCAAACTGAAAAGTGAAACTCGTCTGACAGACCAACCCAACAAGGATAGGCTACAATTTTTTAGTATGTAGTCGGTATTTTATTTGAAAATTGGCGATTCATTCTGCTCTGGGTTAAACAATTTATTAG